TGTGATTTTTAGGAAAAAATTGGGGTTTGTAAGAGAAGGTATTCCGATTGTTGAAAATTTCTAATTCTCTATCGTTGATTAAAGGTGCTTGAAATAGGTTTAAGGGAATGATGATACCCGTTATCATTGTTTGAATTTTTGAAACAATTTGAGCATAAACGAAAGTGAACTAATTGAAATTTCCACTTAAAAATGATTAATGCAACTGACAAAACAAATACACTTTTTCCAATGATAATCAATCGCCAGTGCCAAGTGAGATCTGAGAATTCCTTTTGTATGGATTCAGTGGCCTTGTCCAGCTCGTCTTCGAGCGAACTCTTCATCCTGCTGATTGATTTCTTGCCAAAGAGTTTTGATCAATTTGCTGGTCGAACATTAACTGAATTGATTCCTGTATTTTCAATTCTGCATTAATCCTTTCGATTTCAAATTTGTTAGTTATTCCCGCTTCAAATTCAAAGGAGCATGGTTCGGTTTCCTTAAGCTTATAAGGGCAATCAATAATTTACCGTTGAGCCTTTTGGCTATAATGCCATTTCGTTGTAATAGCAATCTCACGGCTAAAGTGGGATTATCACGCGACAACCATTCGAACAATAATAATAAATTGTTTCGATTTTGACAGCTTTGTTGATTGAGAATGCTAAATCGTCTTTTAAACTGTAGTTGTAGGCTGTCGAAAATATATTGAAATTTCGCATTTTCTGGATCAAATGTTTCTTCGGGGCTAACTTCCATCATAAATAGCCATGGATTCAGAGGGATGAAAAAACTTATCTCTGGATTTGAGGATTCTGCTGAATTTGTGTCGTTTTCCTGACTAACATCAATGATAATTTCACCTTCTATCAGATAGGGTTTGAAGAATGTGCATTTCTTCGTGGTAGATTCTTCAGGGTTTTCATCATACACAAACGAAGTCTGCAATTCACTCTACTCTTAAACCTCCAGAATCCTTGTGTGTAATATAGATCGTGTTTCTTTATTTCTTGTACCGATAGATCTTCGAACTGAGCTTACTTCAGTAGTAGTTCTAGAGCGAATCCATAGTCGTATGGCGTAATTAAGCATTCTTCAGATATACTGTTTAACTATGGAAGTTTTCCTTTGGCTATTATTTTGAGGAATTTTAACGCTCTTATCATTCGTGTCCATTTATTGAATCGGCTTGCGTCCACTAGCCTAATATGTGTTTCATTGATGGTATTTTCTAGCTTTATTGCTACCACTATCGTTTCGCCCTTGTCGTCTTCTTGTAGGATATCGTATTCTCAATGAGGCCATTTTGATTCCTCTCATTTGAGGAAAAGATATTGGTCCAGTCCATCAAGGTTTGTAGTTTGTGAGTTGAGATGATGATGAAATTCCTTTCGTAGCGATATCGTACCGGACTGTATTCACTTGACATATATCGGAA